GTGGACCAATCTAATTAAGCTAAAACTAGAAAAAAATTAACATTTCAGATATCTTTTTTCTATATTTTAAGAGAAAATACGTTTGTACAAAATTATATGTGGACCCTAAATATGCTCCCAATGTCCTGACTCAGTCAGTTACTTTTATAATCCATGTCTGTTTGGTTGTTTAGCAAACACCAAACTTCTATTGGTTGAATTATGCAATCTGGCCTCAAACGTATCTTATGCTGAATTCAATAAATGAAGTCACTTTGGAGAGCTACAGTAATAGATTAGGTGGTGTTTGGAATTTCTAGTTCCAAAAGGGGAAATTCAGGTGCTTGTCTTCCATAGATCTCTGTATTGCTTAAAAGCACTTAATACCCTTAATTCAATCATTACAACACTTGTATGAGTTGGGAATTAATAGTACTCTTTTATAGGGGGATAAATGCAAACCTAGAGAATTTTAATGATGCTACCAAGGTTGCACAGCAGATAAATGAATTCAGGTCTTTCGAGTCCAAATCAAATTTTCTTTTTGTAATAACCACACAGCAGGCTGTAAAGCAAAGAGTCTTGTAACAGTTAAGCCAGCTGCTATGTAATATTAGGCGTTACTTTATCATATTTTCTAAAAACTGCCATGAGATTATATCTCAAAATTTATAAAGACAGAACTAAACAGTTCATTTAAATACTGGCTAAGTAGATGGATGGGTAGATAGTTGGGGGTGTTTGTGTGTGTGCATGTGATGAGCACACGCATGCATGTGCTCACATACGCCACTTCTCTAAAACCCCAGTGTCAGGAAAGTCAAAACAAAAGGCTTGTAAGTCTGGGCTAACAGTTAACAGCATGTTGGACACAGGGGGTACTCAAACATTAGGTTCATTTTCCCATTCATTCAGTAAGTGCCAAATAGTAGTTACATTTTTCAATGTTTGCTCAGGAAAATGGTGATGTGATTAGAAAAGCTCACATGTAATCCCCAGATCACTGAGAGGAATATGTTCAGTAGAATATTTTGCATAATATTTATATTATGAATAAAACCAGGTTAAAACTTTTGAAGAAAGTGATAGTGTGACAGAATAATCTTGTTTATATTTATATTTAGGTTTTCACATACATATTTTTAAGAATTGTATTGTTATCTTTTCCCTTGCAGCACTTTTGTGTGTTTATGTAATTATTTCTTAAGACATTTTATTTAAAAAATTACTTGTCAGCTCTTTCAAGTGATACTACATAATCTGTTGGAAAATAAAATTATTCTCATTCTCTTCCAGTGTTTCCTTATAATCTTTATATCTTTGGAAAGTGTGAGGTTTTTTTTTAGATATTGTTGAATTTAGTGTTTAATCAACAGCAAAAAGCCAACTAAAGTTATCCCTCCCAGGCAGAATTCTTGATGGGCTTTTATTTAAAACAAACAACACAGGCGACAACGTGTAGTTGATGCCAGCCCATCAGTGCTGTGGCAGGAATCACACCGCTAGTAGCAAAGGGTGAAGTTTCCCTAAGGAATGCTTTCTTTGTTCTTTTTATGAAGCATCTCTTCCTCTTGGTGCTTACAACCTGCAACTTTTCTTTATTGTTTCTGATCTTTTCAGCATCCTGCCCCTCAGTTTCCTGATAACACACCCACATCATCTCTCACTTTCGCAGATATAGTAGTCCCTTCAGTTCACTTGGAACTGCACTAAGTGCTTTCCCCGTCTGGGGCTTGCCCTTGACCTCCTGGGTTCCCATCACCTCACTGTTGCCTCCCATTCGTAAACCAGTGCATCACTGTGCTCCACTTTCTGAAAGTGAAGAAATGGATTCTTAATGCTGATTTCAGGATCAGTCCTTTCAGATCTTTTCTCTTTCCTACAAGGAGGAGGAAAAGTGTGCTGTAGCTGTGTTGAACCCATGTCTGCAGTACTGCTGACTGTACGTGTACGTATGGGCGGCCTGAAGCTGGAAGTGGGGGTGGCTTTACCTGCCTCGTTATCACAGCAGAAGCGATTAGTGTGGACTGTGAGCATATGATACTATGTCAACAATATGAACAGATGAATGGTACAAAAAGGATTTTGTCCTCTTTATACTGATGAGGTGTTATTTTTGGACTTGCTGCCTGCATTTCAACTGCTACATATGTAAAAGGAACCAGCATGTGCCTCTGTGATGTGTACGCTTATATATTCATGCATAATATTCCTATGGTTCCAAATAAGATAATCCATAGTCCAAAGGTTTGGTTTGTCCTCCTAATTTTTATGAGCATTTTATATATTTTGGTGTGAGCTCATGCAAAAGCTATAGTTATCCATACTCTGAAAACTCCTAGGGGCTAAATAATACACTCTCGTCATAGAATCGTAAGAGGAACACTGTTCTGTTTCTGTAAAACTGCTTCAGGAGTGAATATTTTTCTTACTGATGCCCTAAGCAGATACCTTCTTGAAGGTGGACTCCTGTTCATAATGTAAGGAGTTCTGAGCAGGTTGCAAAGCTCAGTGAAGCCTGATGCCTCAGAAGCCATCTCGTTACAAATAGGCTCCGTATTTATCACCTGTATTGTCATAATCTGCCCCAGTAGTGTTTTGTTCAATTAGAAATGTTTCTGCAATGGTGAGTTACATCTCTTAACCCTATGTAGAAAACTTGTATCTAAATAGATAGGAGGAGAAAAATTTGAGATGGAAGTACCGTATTTTTTGGACCATAAGACACACCTAGGTTTTAGAGGAGGGAAATAAGAAAAAAAAAAGTTTGAAGCAAAAAAATGTAAAATATTTAATGATATAAATAACATAATATTTCACCAGTGTAAATGTAAACAGAACTCAACAGCAGCATTGACAACCATTATTCTTCCCAAATGAGGGGGGAGGGGTGCATCTTATAGTCTGAAAAATATAGTAGTCACTGTTTCCAAAATTAGAACTTTGGATATGTCTAATGAAGTAAAAAGAAAAATTAATCAAGATTATATCTGTCATCAAACAGTGTTTGATAACGTAGACTTAATGACATAGTTTATAGTTTTAATGATAAGCCAGTTGAGATATTTTATGACAGCAACCTTTCATAAAATATTTGACAAAGAAGTTAGATAATAATGTTGGGAACCAATTGAAATATTCTAGATTCAAGACTGGATAATGATAACAGCTTCTTATAAAAGTAGTTGTTGGTGGTGTTCATTTCTCTTTTTTGGGTTTATTAATGTCTGAGAAGATTAAAAAGCACTTCTCAATTGCAGGACATAATTGAAGTCTTGTTATTTAGAATTTCGTGCAGGAGATGTTTGGATGATTTATTTTTCTATTTTTTAATTTTATGTTTTTGTGGGCCAGTAATCATTTTATCATAGAAGCAAAAAATACAATAAAACATCAACTCATTTCCCTTTTCAGTTGGTCTGGAACCATTGTTGACTTAGTCTCTTTCTCTATTGTTGTGGATGAAATTCCCTTACATTACTGCCCATTGTATGTTTTGAATGGAGCTATAATTTATATTCTCTAACAAAAGGTTTTGAGAGACATGTTGTTGTTCCTTTAAGTGTATGCTCCAGTTTTTTTTAGGGGCTAGCAAACCAAAATCTTTTATTGAACAAAGATAAAATGTAGCAATTCAATATAATTTTAGGTATTGTTGTTCTGATACCATAATGAAGCTAAAAAATGTTTCTGGTTTTTATGTACTAGAACAATAATGTCTGTGTTCGTCTGCTCAAATGAGACATAACCAGAATGACCTGCCACAGTCAGACCCTTTCTGTCCAGGCTGACACTTGCTAAGTGAACTCTTGAGCCAGTTTGGGCCTCGGAAGTAGGCACCGAAGAAATAACGTGTTGAATTTACAAGTGAATAAAGTTAAGGATAATTTATATTAATGCCCTGTAATAAAATGCTGAGTCCATGATTCCGGGTAGAATCTTGATTGTTAGTAGTGGTATAAGAGTATGTTTTACTCATTGCAACTTAAAAGAATGAAATTGAACTTGGCCAAAACTATTATCACTATCTTAAATAGAGCAGTCATAGACAATTTAAAATTTTCAGAAAAAAGTTTTTTCTGAAATTATTATTTCCTGAAAGGTATATTGTACAAGTTCTGTATGTTATTTTGAGAAAAAAATTATCATCATTAAGAGTTAAGTTACAATCCAATTATTAGAAATGATTTGTATTTAGTGGGCAGGTGTGGGAAGTGCGAGAACTCTGTCCCCTTTTTAATACTCAGGAGAATTGTACGGTAGCTCCTTGCCCAAATATGAAGGTTTTCTAGTACTGTTGCTAAGTAACATTGTAGCTTCAGATTTTGATGATGTTGAGTAAGGGTCAGATTATAAAACTGTAGAACTTGGACCTGGAACCATGTTTAAGGTCATCTAATCATAATTTTCATTAGTTTATGACTTAAGAAACTGAGACTCATAAATCAAGGGTGAGTCCAACCAACAAAACTAATGGTTTTAACTAAACAGATTGCATGTATACAGTTTTAAGTAGATAATGCTTTACATACTCAACTTCTAGAAAATTTTCTGCAAAATTACTGTTTGTTTTTAGGTTCCTGGGGCATGCTTACTCCTCCATAGTGCACTTATTTCACTGGATTTTATTTGATCTCTTCCATGGTGTAGTTGCTCCCTTCATGCCTTAATATTTTCATATTGTATTTTTCTGTTACCATTTAGTGCCTAACACCTCCCTGCCCCTGCAGTCTGCCCACTGTCACTGGAGTTTAACAACAGTGCCTGTCTGTCCCTGCAGGGTGAGTGTGTCTTGAAAGCAGAGGCCATTTCTCACTTCGTTTTGTACTTTCGTCCTCTCAGCTTCAGTCGTGATGATAGTCACAGAGCAATCCTTGACATATTTGGGACCAAATGAATGTCTCATAGCAATAAGAGAACAATTCATGATCATTCCAGTAATAAACCTTGCATCTATTAACATGTGCTAATAGATGTGCTATTAACAAAGATAAATATGTGTTCCATTTTTCTCCCCACAGTCTCCAAACGTCCACAACTACCCCGATATGGAAGCCGTTCCTCTGTTGTTAAATAACGTGAAAGGGGAGCCCCCGGAGGACTCGTTGTCTGTAGATCACTTCCAAACACAAACTGAGCCAGTGGACTTGTCCATCAACAAAGCCAGGACATCCCCCACAGCTGTTTCATCCTCCCCGGTTTCCATGACAGCGTCTGCCTCCTCACCTTCTTCAACTTCAACCTCCTCATCGTCTTCTAGTCGTCCAGCCTCATCCCCAACTGTTATAACATCAGTATCTTCAGCATCATCTTCGTCAACAGTATTAACTCCAGGGCCTCTTGTTGCCTCTGCATCTGGTGTGGGAGGCCAGCAGTTTTTGCACATTATCCATCCTGTACCACCTTCAAGTCCCATGAATTTACAGTCTAACAAACTGAGTCATGTTCACCGCATCCCCGTGGTGGTACAGTCGGTGCCTGTTGTCTACACAGCTGTGCGGTCACCTGGAAATGTGAACAACACTATTGTGGTGCCGCTTTTGGAGGATGGGAGAAGTCATGGCAAAGGTAAGAGACACAAGGAAAGTCTTGATTTATTTCAGCACTAGTGGTAACTGTTCTTTCATTCAGTGAGTGGACCCTAAATCTTGTGCAAATACACTACATGAAAAGAGGTTCTATGCCCATCAACACAGAGCCATTGAAGGTAGGCGCTAAACTATCGGTATATGATTCGTTATTACTTAGTCTCTATTTTATGTATAAAGTCATTTCGCGTCAGAATTCAGATACCTAAATTTGCAAAATAGTGTTTACCTTCAAATACCCAGATGGGAAGGATAATCTATAGTTAATGTAACTGCTTATAAGTATAAATGCATAAATCCCTCATAGAAATGATCCATCATGAAATTTTAAAAAGTGAATCAATAATGCTTGTTCTTGCAATGGTTCAGATTGGAACTTATGTGGATGACAATGATATAAAATGCCATGAAGTTGTAATGCTTGAATTCTGATCATTCACTTTTAAGTAACTTGTAAATTAATTGGCCATTAAAATAATTTTCAAGTTAAGTGTTTGGCTACAAAATATCATGTAGCTTAAGTTCTTATCTTTACATAAGTTTTAAGTTGTTATTACTTTAAATAGCTGGATGGCTCAGTATGATGGAAATATTGCAACATACAATATTAATACTCCCTTCTAGGGCTTAGAAGGGAATATTTAATAATACCTAGGTAGTTAATTATGTATGATGGTTTATAGTTGATCATGAAGTTATTTATTTACCTCTGAGTTCTTTTTCCCCCAATTTACTAGAAGGAACTTGTAACAGAACCATGTTTTGTTTTCTTTCTTTCCCATGAATCTGAAAAGTAAGCCACCCTTCTATAGGAGAAATATAAACTGCCCATGATCCCATGATCATTAATTCATTCTCTTTAAAACTGAATACATATGTATGCATTTTGTCTTCAGAACTTAGAAATGATGAAGGACTAAGACTTTATGTTGTATTACTTTTTGCTTTGAAAACCATGTGACTACTGAGGCCCATAGTTAAAATATGATTCGTGAATACATAAAACACTGCCATCTCCTAAAATGCCACTAAACATGGCTGTTTAGGTTCTTGGGTGGGGTTGCCTTCAACACATAGGAATAATGTTTGCTTATGTATTTACAGAGATTTTTGCAAACATACTACAAAATTGCACATTCCCCTTTGACAAGGTAGTGTTTATGAGTAGCACTATGAGTTTTTCGCAGCATGGGAAGTAAATTTCACCTTCCCAGTTTTACTGAGTGAACTATTTCTTGACTCACAGTGGTCCAGTTTCAGAATGCAGTCTTGAGAAGCAGACACCACGCTTACCTGACAGTTTCTTTTTCGTGCTGTTCTGGGTGAAGGCCAGAAGCTGGTGCCATCGCTCTTTATGAATAGGTTGAAGAAAAAGACAGAGGGAGGGGCCTCTTTACCGGTTTTTACTTGAGCTGAACTCTCTTTGTATTCTACTACTTCTGATCAAAATGAGCTAATAGATTTGAATAACAACATAACTGATGACATCTTAGGTATTTATTTTCTTTCATAATTATAGATGTTTTTGTTATATTCCATTTTGGACTTTATTTTCCCCAAACTTATTCCCTACCCATTAAAATCCTACTTTATTCCTTCTATTCTGTTTTTCTTTTTAAAATTTCTAAAATTACGGTTTTTACATTTCATATTATTTTGTATTAGTTTCAGATGTGCAACATAGTAATTGTAGATTTTTTTTTAAGAATTAGGAATTAGCAAATAGCAAGAATATAACCTTGTGTGTTATATTATTTTATATGTTGTATATATGTATACCATACAATTCAGTCTTTGTGAGAGACCACTTAAGGGAAATACTGCTTTTATCATGAAATTGATTGATAAGGATTTTAACATTGTTCATGTCTTTTTAAAATAATTTTGATGCACTAATGAAGGAAAAGAGATACATCTTTTATTTGCTATTATCATTTTATAGGAGAGATTATTTTTAAAGGTTTTATTTAGTTATTTCTAGAGAGAGGAGTAGGGAGGCAAACATTATTCGGTTGCCTCTCGCATACCCCCAATGGGGGACCCAGCCCACAGTCCAGGCATGTGCCCTGACTGGGAATTGAACCAGCTACCCTTTGCTTCCCAGGCTGGCACTCAGTCTGCTGAGCCACACTAGCAAGGGCAGAGAGATTATTTTTATTTAAAGTATATAACATATAAAGTATATTGCCAAAATTTAATTTTCTAGAAAATATGTCTTTGCAGAAGAATTTGTTAAAACTCAGGATGTTATTTGTTCTCTACATGAGTCTATTTATTAGTTATATGCAGTGATTTTACTCAACATTTTTCATATAAAAAATAAATATTCCTATAATCATGAACATACTGGACTGAGATGTGGCCTGAGATTTGGAATCAGGAATGTATGAGTTAGAATTCTAGTTCTTTCATTTACAGCTTTGGATTTGGGAAAGTTATTTAATTTCACTAATCATTGTTTACTTCAGTGATAAAATGGGATTAAAAACCTGAATGATCTTTGGAGATTCTTAGGAAGATTAAGTAAGAGCTTATGTATAAATGTCTAGCGTTGATTAACTATCCATAAATGTTTGTAGTTATTTATAATTATTATCTCCCCTGCCAAATACATGAAGCAATAATATTCAGAATTTTTTTTCTGTCTTGTACAAACAGAAAGTTGGAGGGAATAAACTTACTGAATTTAAAAATAAAAAACTGCTCCCAATAACATAGAAATGCCTCTCAAATTTGTTACTACAACAAATTGTAAAGGACGAGAGTTTAGTATGAGAAATTGTCTGGAAACATCCCATATTTTCTACTTTTATTAGTTTATATTGTTTTTATAATCACTATATTCTACAAATATTGCTTACAGCATTTTACAAGTTTTTAAATTGTTTAACTGATTGATTAGATGGCGGTAAAAGTGTCTAGCGGAGGAGGTTTGCCTACCTCCCAGAACTGATAAAGGGCATTTCAGTGATTCCTCAAGTCTTGGTGCTGCACAAATGTAGCCGGGCACGAGGCCAGCAGTGAAATGGTGGAGTGATAAAGGCAGCCACTATTTCCATTCCCACTTAGGACTTGTGTATCTGGTTTGGATGAGCAAAAGAAAGCACGAGAAAGGAGGTGGATTTTCAGAGTGCTAGTAATAAAAGTAGAAAACTCACTCATAGAAATGTAGATGATTGAAGTTGGTATAACATACTCGGTCGCTGGTAGAGAAGCGGGTTGCTACCCGTCCCATTACACAAAGGACTCTCAGTGCACGCATCCATGTCCAAGGTAGCGCAGTGCATGACTTGAACATTTGTTGACCGTCACTTACTGCCCATCTATCATGTGTTAGGCATTTTACTGCCACCAGGGATAGAGTGGTGAACAAAACAGACGCTGTTTCTATCTGAGTGTTTATAATCTACTAGGAGATGTGGATATTAAACAACAAATTGTACAAATAACTGGTAATTATAGACAGAGTTGGATGAAAACATAGACCAGCCATGGACTTGCCCAGGGCAGAGTTTAATTTTAATTGCAGATAGAGAAAGTAGTATTTGACAAAGTATTTTCATGGAGGGTGTTATATGGTTGGAAGCAATGTTTTTACTGTGATGCTCGGAAGGGGTGGTTATGGTTTGGAGATGTTGGGTGAAAACTCCACATGGGTGTGCTCGACTAACAACAAAGGATGTGAAATGACAGTATTTCGGCCAATCCAAGTATTTAAAGAATATTAGTCTAAAACACAGGTGGCAAACGCAAAACCCGAGGGCAGAACACGGCCCTCCACTTTGTTTTATTCAGACCGGCACCTTGTTTCTACCCAGCACTGAGCTCTCACTTAACTGTTAAGCAGTAGTTATAGTCCTAAAAGTCCTAAAAGTACATTCAGCCCTTTGCAGGCAACCATGAGGCTGATGTGGCCCTCAGTGAAAATGAGTTTGATGTCCCTGGAAAAGAATGGCAAGTTGTTAGCTAGCCCAGGGTACCAACACATCTCAGAGAAACTCCCCCTCAGAGAAGAAGGAAGACATTTTTTTTTCTTTGCTTTGCTTGATATCAAAAGGACAGAGTAGCAGATATTCCCTCCGAGCAGTAGTGCTGAAAGGTAGAAGACTCTCCATGCAGAAGGCATAGCCGCTAGACTGGTCTGGCCCACATTTTGTTACCAGGTAACCTGAAACATGTTATTTATAAACAAGACCCTAAGGGATTATTTTACATCATAAAGGAATTTCACTACAGCCTGGGGAAGTTTTTGGTAGAGTTTACAGATTTTCATCAATTTTTACAGATATTTAATAGCAAGTATAGAAGGTCTTAGATCACAAGCAAATTGTTCTTGGCTTTGCTATTGCGTTGATGGAAGAGTAGGGGTGTTTAGGGTCTCCCTCCCTGCCTGCCTTCCTTGTTCCTTCTCATCTGCTAATGAGGTAAGAAGAAGAGCAATAAGGAGAATGCAGCTGAAGAATATTCCAAAGAGGGAGCCATCAGTTGTATCAGAAGCTGCCAAGGGGCCACACAAAATAAGGACTAATAATTGAGCACTCGGTGGGGGTGGAGTTCGTTGGTGGCACAGTGTGTCAGGGTGGTGAGGACTCAGGACTGATGGGAGTGAGCTTGTGTTTGGACGGGAGGTGTGAGAGGAAAGACAGAAAGTCTAAACAGCTCTTTGGAGTAGTTTTGCTGAGAAGAGTGGTAGCGGAAGGCTTTGGAGCTCTGGAAGGAGGGATTTTAAAACGGAGGCAGTATAGCATATTTGTATTCTGTCAAGAATAATCCAGTAGATGGTTGAAAATGGGCAATTCTAGAGAGGAAAGAATTGTAGAAGCAAAGCCCTTAATTGCACATTAGTCGCTTATACTGTGGAAGTAACTTGCATCTTGTCATTAACAAATTCTAAAGTCATTTTGTTAAGAGTGACAGAATTTTTAGGAAAATGTAAAAACAGAAAATAACCTAGGGTCAACAATGGAAAGCAAACAAATG